ACTAGTCAGTCTGTTGGAAGTATGTTAGGAGGAGAAGTTATTGTAATAACTGGACCAGCATTTAAACCAGATGACAATATACTATGTGCATTTGGTGATACTGAAACTGTTGGAATTTTTCTGAGTGAGGATAAGTGTCTATGTGTAACACCACAAGTGGCAAATGATGGAATTGTACAATTGAATATTAAGATAACACGGGCTGGATCAGCTACTCTGAATGGAGGAACTAAATTCAGATTTGGTCAGTGGATTTGAGTTTTATTTTCAAATTTTTACTGTGTCATCTATACAGCTTGCTATTAATTTTTCTTTATTCACATATAGTGTTGCCTTTTGATATGGAAAATAATGCATCACCAGCAGTTAGTGTAGTTGATGATGGAGACAGTTATGCAGTAGGAACTAGTAACAAAGTGAATGTGACATGGAATGAGTATGCACTGAAAGGGGAATTGTTATCTGAGTACTTTGTCACACTTAACATATCAATGGTAAGTAATTTTTGATAGTATTCTTCAATTACCATATCCTTTTATTCAAATTATGCTTCATCAGAATTTCACTTTATTTTCAGATGCTGTACAACACTGATACAGATAAATGGGAGGAATCGTATACACTTGCATCTGATGTACCTGCTAGTGATGAAAGGGCCGAAGTCATGATACCAGAGTATCCACAGATTGATGAGACAACTCTTAGGCTGTCACAAATAAGAGTATCCCTAAGTACAATTACTGCATCAAATCATCGACAAAAAAGAATTTTACCAGCATTAGCCATTGGTGGGTTAATACGCATAGCTGGTAGAGCCATTCTTCGATATGCTTGGAAAAAAATTAAGCAAAAGATTAAAGATGAGTTAAAAGAGGCAGCAAGATCAGCAGCACTACGTTTAGCATGTGAATTATGGCATAAGCAGGATAGAGGAGTTAATAATAGGCAACTGCCACCTTGTCCATGTAAAAAGTCTCAGGCCAACAGAGATGATAGATACACTAAGGAAAATTTCATACAGGACTTGTGGAGGGAAAAAGTATTTAAGAGAGATAAAGCTACAGGTGGCTGTTATAGGCAAAGCAATGTTGGGTAAGTACTTGTAAAAATTGTTCTATTTAATAAGCTGTGTACCTATGTCTTGTCAATCAAACATCATTCATTAATTCAACATTAAAAATACTTATTTATAAGCAAATGCTAGTTTTGTTCATATTTAATTTGCAATAAAACTTTATTTCATTTTCTATACATGCACAGTTCTTTTAGTTCCAGTCAGCAATGCTGTTATGGTGGTGATGGGAATATTTTAACTGGTACTAGTGGAGGATCAGCATACAGTGTATATCCTAATAACTGGAAATCATTTTTAGGTATAACATCTTTAATTTTGTAATGTGATACTTTTATTATTATTATTAATTTGATTTGTTATAGGTCATTTGGTTAATGATGTTGCTCCTCATTATTTATGTTGTGATGGAAAATATTTTTCAGGTTGTCAGGATCGGTACTATGATAGGAGACCTAATGATAATTGTGAGGACTATCCTGAAAGACCACCACCAGGTACAAATAAATATATGTACACACATATATAATTTAGCACTTTATTTTATTTGCTAAATTGCTATGTGTGCATTAATTGCTATTCTACATGTGATGTGAATGTATTATTATGTTACTATTAAAACTAGAGTGTAAATGGTAATTAATCAATTTTTCTGTAGCTCGTACATTTGGTGATCCTCACTTAGTATCACTAGACGGGACACAATACACATTCAATGGTCATGGGGAATTTATTCTAGTACAGTCAATTGATGGTTCTCTGATGATACAAGCAAGAATGACAGAGCCATTATCAATTAGTGACAGTAATGAGACTCTCATTGGTAGTGGGACAGTCATT